GCCCCATCTGAGCTATTCTTTTTTCAATATAATACTTACCTTTGTCATGCTCCCCAACTATCGGGAAAATAAAAGAATTAGGAGGTTGGTCATTTTGCGGGGGGAAAAATCCAAATGGTTGGGGATATATATATATATATATATATTTAAATATAAATATATAAATATGTATAATATATGCATATTTATATGTATAATATAAATATAAATATATGTGTATATATATATGTATGTATATATATTTGCAGCTTAGTACTTTTAGCTCGTGCTGCAAAAGCTATCAGGAAATTTCAGGTACATTAGGCATTCATTTTATTTTTAAAAATGCCTACGTAGCTTTCAGTAAGCACCACGCTCACTCTGAAACACCTCGCCCATATAAGTGATTTTACAGCAAATCTACGAGGTGGGTACTTTCAGCGCCTTCTTTTATAGAAACTAGGACACAAAGAAGTCAGTTATCTTGCCAAGGTCACACAGCCAGTAAATGGCAGAATTAGAACTCTAAGCAGGCTCTGAATGTATGCTTTTACTCAGCATTATACACTTACTCTCAACACATAAAGAGGATCAGTATACTGGGGGAAAAAAAGAAACTAACTAATTAACTAAATAAATGGTGCCAAAAATAGGAATCTCTGACCCCTACAGAAGTCACAGTGCCTCCTTATTGCCAGTCAGACATTCAGGAGATCAAGTTGCATCTGGACCCCTGGGCAGCTGTATGACCATTATTCTTTCAACACCTCAGTTTTCCCATCTGTCAAACAGGTAACCTAGCACCTAATGCAAATCAGGAAAGAGTGACACAGCACTGTATCTGCCTAAATAGTCCTCGACATACAGAACGCGCTCAGGGGATGGGTGGCTAGCATAGGACAACGCCGGCTGGTTTATTCGGGGAGTTGGCTGGAGGCAGTGGGCTGGCCCTAATGACCCTGTGTGTTGGTTGCCCACAATACACAGCCTCCCCCAACCCCCAAGGAAGATATGCTGCTCTCCTGTAGGAAGTGCTGTTGACCTTGGAGAACATGACAGTCGTTTCACTGAACCTGAACCTGGGTCAGTTAGGAACATAGAATTTAAACATTAAAATGATTTAAGTTTTTGACTGAAAGTGGAAGGGTTCCCTCCCAATAAAGGAGGTGTAGACCGCCATTCATGTGTGTAAACTAGGCTCTATGTGACCACCAGTGCTCCGACCATGAAGGAATCATTGGCTTTTCCCTTTTGGCCGGGTCTTGAATCCCTCCAAGCTGCCTAGTTGCTGAGTCATTAAGGCCACTGCCTGAAACGAAGAGGAGGAAGATACATACGCACAAGCCACATCTACACGAAGGTATGGATGGATTTGTCTTAATGGGTAAAACCATTCCAGATGGATAAGTACAGGATATCTAGAGCGAATGTGTGCTCTTGTGGAGAGAAAGCGTGCCACGTAAATCATTTCTGCGGCCTATTCAGCTACTCAGCAGCATTTCAGCTTTCTGTGTTTCCTTCCCCACCCACCTACCCACCCGCTGAAAGTGGTTTCTCTTCCTGGGGGATAGGATTCTATGCTAAAGATCCCTACTGCTTGTGCACATCGACTTCATGCCCCTCTGTTTTTTAGCAATCAGTGGAATCTCCTTGCAAAAGCATGTTATCAAATGCTTCTTTTGTTTGAGGCCAAATAATTGTCGTAACACATTTCCATCATGAACCTCTCTTCTATGAGTTCCTGGGATTTTAAATGGACTGGCGGGTGCGGGTCCATAGGGCAGCCACAGCTCCGTTCGAGCTGCACGAGAGCAGAATCACTCATGCATTATGTGCTCCCAAAGCTGGTTCAGGGGCTTAGAGTTCATGGAAACCAATGGTTTTCAAATACAGCTCAGTAGGGCTCAGCTTTTACCTGTGGTACACAGTGGCTCCAAGGTACGATTTTGTTCGATCAAAGGGTTTCTCTGCTAAAAATTTAAATAAATTCAACTATTAAAACCACAAACATGTCCTCTCATATATCAGATGAGGGAACTGAAGCCTCGGGGGTAAAGGAGCATTAATACAAAAAGCTGCTACAAGCATGGGGTTTGGAATCAGGGATTCTGTTCCCAACCCTGTCATTTACTAACTATGTAACCCTGGGGAAGACACCGGGTCTTGGTGCCCCCCCACACACCCCCCCCAAGATACAGGAATATCACTACTCATTGTAATGCAGCTGCTGTCATAAATTTAAGAAATATTGAGCTGTTCTAAAAACCAGTAATGCTCTCTGCATATGTCCATTTATTTGACAGATATCTGAACGCATAGTAGATGCCAACTGTTTACTTGGCATCTCTTCTTAGAAATCTCAAGGATGCCCAAGCTTTTCATGCCCAGCGCTGCATACACAGTCTCTGTTTCCGAACCACCCAGGGTATTCTAGCTCAGTGAATGGTACCAGCCTCCATCAAACTGTCTACCAAACATACCTAAAAAAAGCTCTCGAATCTCAACACCCTTCTCTTCGACCACGTACAGCCCGTGTAACACCAAGCCCTCCTAATCTGCCCTTCTAAACACCTCGGTACCTCTGCACCTTCCCCACTTTTAGCACCTGTCCCACCACGCTAACCACGTCTCCGTCCTCTCCCTCTGAGGCACCTTGTGATGGCCTCCCGCTCTCTGACATGCACTCGCCCACTGGCTTCTGCATCAAAGTTTGATGTTCTTCCCCAAGGTGCCTCTCCTGACCTCCCTGACCCTCCTGACCTCCTCAACCTTCCCCTGCATGGATTTGCTCACAGTGGCCTCTCCTTCACATGATTAAAATGTCATACGATTCATGGCTGGCTTTCACATCAACTAGAAACTCCAGAAAGGCAGAGATCCAACTCTGTACCTCACCCACTGTATGGCCCTGGGTGGCTGACTTTCCTCCCCTGAAATTCATGACCACGCGTCTCCTTAACCATGAAAAGTGGGAAACAGCCACGTACCTGAAAAGTCGCTTTAGCTTTGACAATCTGTGAATTGTTTGGATATCTCTATCCGTATCATTATCTATATACATGTACATGGATAAAATACATACACATATACATATTTAGACATACATACGTGGTTGTTTATCGAGAGATATAGGCACGCACACACACACACACACGCACATGCACACGCACACACAGACTCGGGAATCAATACAAGTACCTTTGACTCTCTATTCTCCAGAGGCTTCTATGTGCTATGTGGCATTACTCTCTCTGTCTTCTGGGTACAATGCAGACAATACATCTTAGGACCACAAACTCAATTACGCGATTCATTATTCCATCCAATGGAGACTGACTGAGTACCTACTCCATGACAGCTCCTAGACCTGGCTCTGGTCCCTCCCACGTGAAATAACTGGAGTCACTGAACAGTCCCTCACAGTGGTCCTAATTCTGGCTAGACAGTTTTCTTTTCTAGGCTTGGCTCAGGGCTACGGATGCAGTACGACCACGTTAGGCTCTCTACCTGAATTCTCCAGGTCCTTGTAAGCTTCGGCCCAAGACTTGGCCATGTTGGCCAGCGTGTACTCCATGATCTGGATGTCGGTGATGGGGCAGTTGCACTGTGGGAACTCCTCTGCGCACTGACATCTACACTGGCTGTTCTGACACACATACTCTCCCTCACCATTGCACATGATGTAGCTCAAGGCCGACTGGACAAACTTCTCTTGCAGATACCGAGGGAAGATTATCTGAAGACCTGTGCAAGAACAGCAAGAAGGGGGAAAAAAAGAAAGGTTAAAAAAGGTGTTTCATTAACAGGTTTGAAAGGTGAAACATAGGAATCTGAAGCTGTTAGCTTTCTCCCTGTGTACTGCAACCCAAATATTTCTGGGCCCGCCTAGATCCACACAGGGCCCGGTTGGTGAGGCCTCCAGCTACACTGTGTCTACTTAAACTTCTCAAGTCATGACCTCGGCCACCTCTGAAAGGCACACTCTAGTCCGTTACATTAGGACTGAGGCCACAGCCAGATCTGGTATATACCTTTTCCATTTTGGGACAAAACCCTTCTTGAAAGCACAAGATTATTGTTTATTTTTTCTTGTTTCCTTCATTTCTTTTGTTCTTCTTTTCTCAAATATTGATGGACTTTATTTACGAAGCCCAAGTCCTGAGCTAGGCACTGAGTCTATAGAGATGAAAAAGACAAGATCCTCGCCCTTGGGGAGTTTACAGCGTAATCAGCAGGGATAGACACAGACACACATCATCATAACACAGCTTTCTGGGCCTGGAGCAGAGATGGTCCAGACGAGGCAACTGGACAGAGAGGACTGCAAATAACCTTGCCAGGGCAGCAGGGAAACCTTTATAGAGGAGATGGTGTTTGGGCTTCTTGGAAGGTAAATAAGAGATCACCATGTAAAAAAAAAGGAACAGGAAGCACATTCTAAAGAGGGTAGCAGCGAGAATAAAGATGTACATGTCTGGGAGCTGCTGGTGAAAAAACGAATTTGGATGGGTGGGGTGCATTGCTGTCGGGGAACATGTGTCAGAGGCAAGTGGAGGCCAAAGTGCACAGGGCTTTCTTGTATGCTAAGGGATTTGGACTTCATCCTGTGGATAATGGGATACTTTGGTAAATTTCAAGGATACGAGTGATAAAGGAGAGTGGTATAATTTCATAAGACCAAGGCATCATAAAAATAATAGTGCAGAATGCCATCAGAGAGGATTAATTTTTTTTTTCTTCCCAGCTGTAAACACAAAGAAGCAGAGGCCCATGGAGGGGAAGTGACTAGCCCAAGGCTATAGGATGAACACTCCGGACCACACCTCATAATCTTGTCTCTATATCTGAGTAATCAAAGTCTTAATCTGGACAGCCAAGGATGGAGAAGGATCTATCTGGGCACATGCACTACTCATGTACCTCTGAGATGTCATCATAGCAGGCTATTGACTAGGGTGCCCAAAAAGAAGGACAACTCTGGGCTAAATTAATTCACGAAAGACATCTCTCCCCACCTCGTCTAGTGCCGCGGACAGTTTCAGCTACCAGTGCATATAGGGGTAATGGTTTAATGACCCATTGTGTGAAAAATAACTGTGTTCTTTGGATTAAATGTTTTTCTTATTCATGTTTTAGGGACACACCCTCATCCTACTCATCAGGGGCTTGCTGAATCAGCTCGGCCTGTCTCTCATTGTGGTTCACAGTTGTGTTTCTAGATTTTTATCTTTCCCTCTCTCACTTTCAATTTTTTAAAAAATGAAGCCCCATCATTTCAACCTGTCTTCATCTGGCAGCTAAAAACAACTGTGTTCAGAGAGGCATTGTGGGGTGGGGTGGGGGGCGTCTGGGTGGCTCAGTCGGTTAAGCATCCGACTTCGGCTCAGGTCATGATCTCATGGTTCAGGAGTTCGAGCCCCGTGTCAGTCTCCGTGCTGACAGCTCGGAGCCTGGAGCCTGCTTTGGATTCTGTGTCTCCCTCTCTCTCTCTCTGCCCCTCCTCCAGGAGTGCTCTCTCTCTCTCAAAAATAAATATTGAAAATATTTTTAAAAAGGCATTGTGGGAAAGAGGATGATGTGCTCGGCACACCTTACTGCAGGGATGCAGAAGGTAGTTAAAAGCTGGGCATCGCTAGTCAGGCTTCTCTACTTACTACCTAGACATCTCAGGTAAGTCACTCAACCTCTCTAAGCCTCTGCTTTTTCTTTTGTAAAACAGAGGTGCTTTTAGGTTGTTGAGAGGGCTAAGTGAAGGAATCCCTGCAAATCGTCACAACAGTTCCTGGGCACACGGCAAGCACCCAGTAAATGCTATTCGTTCCCATTTCTGACAATGATGATGATGGCGATGCTGTGATGATGAAATACCTCCTGTGATTGACGTTTTTTAAAGTTTCAACAGAACCTTCAGGATACATGAACTATAGCTGTGGGCAATCAGAAGAAAATCCTCAGCAGGCAGTCTGGAGTTATTTGTAGAGGAGGGTTTAGAATTCTGTGCCTGTTGAAGCAGCATGGTGGGGGGGGGGGATGGCTATTCAAGAAGGTGGATCCATATCAGTATGGGTGAAAGGGGTTCTAACAGACAGATGGAGCTACAGGGCTTGGGCACCGGCCGGCTGCGAGAATGGGTGAACTCCACACCAACGAGCAAGGGGTCTGCATGAGTTTGAGTGCTTGCTGGGAAGGGCTCACGGCATAGGAGCAGGATACAAACACCGAACGATGGGGCCAATCACTAGAGTGAGTCCCTGCTCAACTAAGTCTACAATTCTTTCAGAGCATGCATTCCTGAGTCATTTTATCTGTATCAGGGTTTTTCGCTTCCAAAGCAAAATTTATTTTTAGCTGATCCCAATCCCCTATAGGCATCTGAGTCTACGGATTGGGGTTAAGTTTCTGTTGGAACTCTATAGACTATACTCTCAGTCCTATTTTTCTAGCTTGCTAATCATTTTCTTTCTCCCTTTTGTAGGGGATAAAATATTCTATTCTTGGTCCCAGCCCAAAAGGAATTTGGGGAGAGCATTTTTAGAAAATTGCGTCAAATCATTTCTCCGTTTGGCAAGGATACAAAAGGCAGTATTACCTACCCCGTTTAATGCAACTGAAAACAGATGAAGTTTTGGGTGGGGGGGTTTCTGGGAGCAGCTGAAACACAAAACTGATTGCTCTTTAAAAATGGAAACTCAGATCATGCCGAGCTGTCTCTGAGGCAGAGTCTCCTGGGCAATTTTGAAAGAGAATAATGAAGACATAGCAATTAAAAAGCACTTTTCTGCAAAATGTCATTACTGTTTAAAGTTACATAACCATTTCTACGGCAGCGGAGGTTCACAGAGCAGTCACCGCCGCAGTCGTCTCCTGATGACCTGTGTCCAACAAAGAGGCCCATTGCTGACCTCCTAGGTTGGCGCCTGAGTACCACCGGCTTCAATGGGAGTCATAAATAACTTGGAGGGAGATTTGGCCTGTGGAACCACTGTTTGAAAGATATACAGCTGCCGGCTGGGGTGGAATATTCTGGCCCCACAGTTCCCAAAGACACACAGAGAAATAGAGAGAGAGAGAGAGACAAGCTGAGAAAATCAGAGACAGAGAGAGGTCACCATTATGGGCAAGCATGTAAATTTTGCCTCAAAGCACCCAAGAAGGCGATGGCTGAGAGTTTCACTTGCACACCCAGTGACTCGTGCTGAACATATGGGATATCTCCCCCAATCTCATTATACTTTTTTTTTTTTTTTTTTTTTACAAAAAATCTTGTTATACTTTAAAATGGAATGTGTCACTGTTCCGCGAAGTGAGTGGGCAATGTAGATATGGGAACATCCACATCATCTTCTTTTTCTTTTCCTAATTTTTGCCCTGTCTCCCTTAGTCCTCCTCCCACCTCACCTTCAAGGCAGACATCTCAGGATATTTCTTGTGTTTTACATCCAGTCTTTGTGTGTGGAGGAAGGATTTCTCCTCTGTGTCACACGATAGGCTATCTCGATTTCCTCGCTTCCTCTCTCCTTATTTCTTAATATTCTATTCCTTTGTCTTGTTTTGTTTTTTGAAATACACCAGGCATCCTTCTTTTTCCTGGTCCTTCCCTTGTGCTGGTCTTGTTCTCCCTAGAGTCTTTGCAAGTGTACCTCCCAGGGCCAAGAATATTCTTTTCCCAGATCTCTGCATGGCTCCCTTGTCCTGCAATCCAGACCTTCCCAGATGACCCATATTAAAAAAGCCTCTTCTATTTTCATCATAGAATTAGCTACTGACAGAAATCATCTTATTCATGTGTTTTCATATTTGTTTTCATCTTCCCCATTAGGGAGTGGGCTTCCAGGGGACAGGAGCCCTGTCTGTCCACTATAGATCCCCCAGAGTATAAATTAAGGCCAAGGCCAGTATAGGTTTTCATTCAACAACCATTCTCTTTTTCACCCCAACTGAAAAACAAAAAAACAAAAAACAGAACAAAACAGTGGTCTCTAAAAACTTTGAGGATATTGGAATTGGCCCTAAGTTGGCCTAAAGCCCCACAACCAAACTAACAGACTCAAGATTCAAATCCCAGAATTCTGAGTTCCGAAACCCTTACGGGCCCTCCCAGCTCTCTGGCATGAAAGACTGAAAACTGAGACAAACTCCTGCCTCAATGTTCTCAAGGTGGCCCTGGCCCAGGGTGGCCTCTGCAGGTATCTTAGCCTCTCTCTGAAATTCAGGCTACTTGCCTGTGAAGCTCCAATCCCAGGGCTGTTGGGAAGAATAAATAAACGGGAAAGGCATAAAGGGCACCCGGCAAGAGCCTGGCTGCTATGGGCTGAATGTTTGTGACCACCCCCACCCTCGCCCCCCTCTCCCCTGCCCAGTTCACATGTCACAGCCCTGACTCCCAGAGTTATGGTATCGAGATGGGGCCTTGGCTGGTCATTGGGTTTACATCGGGTCACAAAAGTGGGGCCTCCGTGGTAAGATTAATGGACTTGTAAGAAGAGTACGAGACAGGAAAGCTGTCTCTCTCCCTCTCCCTCCATGAGCACACACTAAGGAAAAGCCACGTGCACACGCAGTGAGAACACGGCTGTCCACAAGCCAGACACCGAATGGACCGGCATCGTGGTCTTTGACTTCCAGCCTCCGGAACTGTAGAAACGAAGGCTTCTCACCTCAACGATCCAGTTTTTGCATTTTGTTATAGCAGCCTGAGCAGATGGTTAGCACAATTAAGTGTTCAATAAATGGTAGGTCCCCCC